CTTTAGTAGGAGAGAAGGACGGGAGATAGATCAATAGAAGAGTACGATTCCACATGCGATGAGAACTGACTGAATACGTTAATATATCATGTCGAAAGTACACGCAACGCAACTAACCATGCTAGACCCTAGTCAGGTAAAGGTGCCTCTGGGCGTTAAGCTATCTCGTGACTCCATGTGGTAGCTCGACCACTGGTCGAAGAATAAAGGAAACCAATTCATGTACCTTTGAAGCAAGGGGACCGAGTGACAGGCTTGGCTTGGAAAGAATACAATAGAAATAGGGTTTAGTAATCAAGGTAGGGTTGGGGTAGAACCTAGGGAAGAGCATAGTTTAGAAGCGATAGGGTTCAAGACGGATCTAAAGATAGGCACGACTAAAGCAATGGAACTTTCGTTTTCAGATAGGGAGAGAGAGGACTCCAGCTCGATCTTTGCTCAAAGTTAGCGGGGCTAGGCTACGGTTGGAAAGGAAAGTTGTGCTCGACTAATCATCTGCAGGTGTGTAGCGGTTTAGGGTCGATGTAATTGAGGAGCGGAGTGGGAGAAGCGAACGAGCGGATTAGAGACCTTCAGTTCAGACCTTCACTACGTTCACCCTTAACTTAAATTTAACTAGACCGGTAAAAGAACTGGTTTTCTCTTTCTACTCACAAGGCGCTAAAGGCCCTTATACCTGAAAGAGTCTTTCACTTTTCCTATCTTAACTTATCTAAAGAGGCTATGCAAGCTAATAGAAAAAGTACTTGCTTTATCCGGCTTAGCATTCTATTAAATGGAATGAAAGGGTCTCTTAGGCGGCCTTTGCTTTATAGTCGAGCTTCGGAGCAATTTACCACATTTTAAAGTAGGCCTCGTCCGTCTCTCTCATTCAAAGTAGGTAGATGAAAGATCTGTAACTCCCCTTGACGTTCTAGTTTCGGTCTTCTACGCGGGCACAAGCATACTAGCTGACAAGACAGACTACTGGACGGGCTAGCTTCCCTCACTTCTAGCTTTCCGGGCTCACTCATGCTTTCCACTCCCGCTCGCTGGCACCTCTTTCCTCTTTACTACTCCACTTTGTTGATGCAACGAACTCTTTCTATTCCACTCGCCAACAGCCTCCCGTAAAAAAGTATACGTAACTCGCCTCGCATCCTCCCCTTACCGATTAGACTATAGAGCGGGTGGGGCTGAAGGGGCTTACGATTAACTTGTTTTTCATCAATCTTTGGTGAGTGTGAAATAAGAGAAGGACTCATGTTCTTCATCATTCTTCCAGCAAGCGCATATCTTACTTATGCTTTCGACGAGTAATACAATAACCGGCTTACACAAAAAAAGGCTAGCTTTCCTCAGCATCAAAGATCGCCCACTCATTCATCATACCATCATGCAAAGCAAGACAAACCTCGTAGGACAGGAAATCACTCTTTTGGACTCTTCTTTGTTTTTCATTCTTGGAAGAATGGATTTCTTTCATGCCTTACTTTCGAAGGCTTTCATCTCCACGGGGGGCGAGCCCTCTCGTTAGCTCTATGTAAGGGCTTGGGCTTCTCTGGGGGTCTAGCCTTGGCCATTGCTTATGTTTTTCAAGCCTTCCTCACTGCCGAGGCCGCACCCTCTCTTGGAAAAAATATGGTTCCGTCTGGGTCGGCTGAGGGCGGCTCATCAAGCTCCGAAGCGAGCGTCAATCAGCAGCCTCTGATTCCGGAGCTTCACCCTCCTTTGATGGATGACTCTACCCGCGAAGCAGAGCTCAATGATCGTTTGGGTATTCATTTTTCGGGTATATCATACAACCCCGACGTTCGGGAATCGTTTGTGCGGACCCAGCGGGAAATTGAAAAACATATCGAGGGGGCTCTCGTGGCCGACGGGTATTCTCGTGAGACTATCTTTGAAAAAAGACATCGGATACGGGGGTTCTTGTTTTACCCGGGCGGGACCGCGCTTTCTGAATCCACTTACGTGGACCATCTGAACCAAATCAGGGAAAATGGTACACGGCAAAGCGTTCCGTATCGCAGGATTATAAGAGCCCTCCAAAGCTATGATCTCTTTTTATAAAGATAGTCTTTTTAGAATCATAGTTCGGTAGTGGGGTGTTGGCCCTAATCCCCATTGAGAGTCAGAGGTAGTGTAACTAGGTAGCCAGTCTTTACTTAACTCGTCCCAAGCAATGCCCCAAGACTCCCATGCCTTTCTTGGTTGGACCAAGCGATTTTCGACAAGTCTTCCTGGAAAGCAAGAAGCGGAACTACAGGGATGAAATGAAAAGTCTTTCTTACGATTACGCCCAACAGCCCACTTGAGCAATTTTCCATTCTCCCATTGATTCCTATTCAAATAGGGGACTTGTATTTCTCATTCACAAATCCATCTTTGTTTATGCTGCTAACTCTCAGTTTGGTCCTACTTCTGGTTCATTTTGTTACTAAAAAGGGAGGAGGAACCTTAGTACCAAATGCTTGGCAATCCTTGGTAGAGTTTATTTATGATTTCGTGCTGAACCCGGTAAACGAACAAATAGGTGGTCTTTCCGGAAATGTTAAACAAAAGTTTTTCCCTCGCATCTTGGTCACTTTTACTTTTTCGTTATTTCGTAATCTTCAGGGTATGATACCTTATAGCTTCACAGTTACAAGTCATTTTCTCATTACTTTGGGTCTCTCATTTTCTATTTTTATTGGCATTACTATAGTGGGCTTTCAAAAACATGGGCTTCATTTTTTAAGCTTCTTATTACCGGCAGGAGTCCCACTGCCGTTAGCGCCTTTTTTAGTACTCCTTGAGCTAATCTCTTATTGTTTTCGCGCATTAAGCTCAGGAATACGTTTATTTGCTAATATGATGGCCGGTCATAGTTTAGTAAAGATTTTAAGTGGGTTCGCTTGGACTATGCTATGTATGAATAATCTTTTCTATTTCATAGGAGATCCTGGTCCTTTATTTATAGTTCTTGCATTAACCGGTTTGGAATTAGGTGTAGCTATATCACAAGCTCATGTTTCTACGATCTCAATCTGTATTTACTTGAATGATGCTACAAATCTCCATCAAAGTGCTTATTTATAATTATAATTGAACAAAAGCGAGAAGCGAGTTGAAGGAATGGAAAGAAAGCTCCATATTAGCTCGAATTGCCTCTTACTACTCTTACCATTCACTTAAAAAACTTATCTAAGCACTTGACCGAGGAGAGTGAGGGGGAAGGAAGGCATTAGACTGTGTTTCATTCATTTATTAAGTACGCAATACGCAAGGGGGAAGAGAATGAAACGACTTCACTTAGTTCTGTTAGCCTAGTTTGAATGAAATGAACTAAGCCAGGTGCGGAAGGGAAGCCGGAAGCTGTGATGGCTAGGAATTCTGTATTAGATCCCTCATCTCATTCTGAAGTCAAGTAAGGAGTCCTAGTTCAGAGGCACAGTACATGGATCGGAACTCTCAGTCGAATGATTGGATTTCCTGGGGCATTAGGTACGGATATAGAAAGTGTGCAGCGGACTCATTAGCCTATTTTGAATTCGAGTAGTTCACTTCTAGGGTTCGGTGCTAGGGTGCCTGATTCAACTCTGCTTTGAAGCATGAAATTCAGTCATACAGGTGCGGAACGGGTAATCAAAGTCATCTCCTGTCTGGGGTTTCGTGTATCAATGCTTCTAGATTAGTGTTCAGGATGCTTGACTGACCGACTTCTTTCAGCAGGGTCACCTATCTTTATCTTTCATCTTCTATCGACCACCCGTGCACGCTTCCTTTAGCGAGACTGAGAGATGGGTAGTAGCCCAGGAACTACTTCCTAACTACGGGGATCTTTTTTCAGGCCTCTCATTTTGTATCAGAATGAATCGGGCAACTCAATACACAGAGTCGATAACCACAAATTCAGAGGGAGTCTTTTAATACTCCCCGGGATTGGATCCTCTTGCCACGGAACTTCGAAAAGCATGGACTATACTTTTCAATTCTTATGTAATCCAATCCGATTTAGGTAAGGGTAAGATCTATGATCTATATATTTCGCTACTTATCTAAACTGGAATATTGAATATGGATCAACCAATAACGATTAGCCAGACTTCTTTTACGAGAAGAGTAGGGCTAGGGTCAAAGAGAACATAACGAAAAGAAAGAGAAGCTGATCTTCCCGCAATAAATTCAAAAGCGGCAACCATCACTTCTCTTATGAGCCGGATCTACTCCTCAATATGAATCCAGAGCCGATACCTTTACCTTTATTGGATCTTTGCACCGATGCTGATCTACTCTACTATTCGATTTATTCACGCACGTCAAGCGTGAAGCGACCTGAAGATAAGGACTACAAGCGGATCGTATGCTTCACCCGACTGAAACATGTTCCTCGGGAATAGAAGCTCACTGAGAAAGGATCTGTTACATTAACTGGGAAAGGGAAAAAGGAGAAAAGCCGAAGCGGAATAATCAAATAACAATGCGGATTGACTTGATCTTTCTCCCTCTCTGTCTGTCAGAAGCGAAATTACTTTCTTGGCCACTGCATCAGCTCGATGTCAAAAAGGCCTTTCTTCATGAAGACCTCCACGAATAGGTTTTTATGAGTCCCCCACCGGGTTTTCGAGCTCAGGGGGAGGAAGGGAAAGTTTGAAGGTGAAAAAAGGCGATATATGGTCTCAAGCAGTCTCCTCGGGCTTGGTTCGAGATATGAAGTTTGGTTATGACGAGGATAGATGGGTTTCCAGAGAAGCAATGCTGATCATTCCGTGTTCATAAAAAGGAGACAAGAAGAAAGGACTGTTCTCCTAGTGTACTCATCAGTTTAGAACTCTAAATTCACAAGTCAAATTCTGATATTAGTCAGAAAGGCAGCTAGTAAGCAAGTCGAGTAAGACAGCTATTATTAAGTCGAGCCAGCTTTCGCTAATACTTTTCAAAGACGAAAAGCCCACTCCGTCCGTAAGACAAACTAAAGCTAAAGGAGGCTGACTTGACCAGTCATCTCTTATGATATTTCGTTATTTAATAATTGAGTCTCAAAGGTGTATGAGTTGAATAAGACCTAGCTTTTCATCCCCTCGGATTCCAATGAGAGGCTCGGTCCTTGTCCTCCCGTCTCCCCAGTCATAAATAGAGTGAAGTGGCTTTACATTCTCATGATCGGGTGGACCCGAGCTTTTTACTCTGATCAAGCTTTGGCTGTCTCGATGGACTGGCTTGTGCTCAGGCCCTAAAAAAGTAAGCTAGAATCCTCCGAGATGGAAGGTCCCCCTCAAGAGGGATTATTCTCCGGGTTAGTCCAATTGGTTGCGGTCAAAAAAGTACTAGAAAGACCTATCACCGGACATCAAATGAGAGGTCTCATTCTTATTCAAAACCATCAGCAAAAGCCTTAATCTCCTCCCTGGTCAATCTGACTTCAAAAAAAGGACCTCGCCGGCTAGTCCCTTAGTCCATGCCCGAGCCTTCCATACATCACCATCGAACTGACATTCTCTGGACTGAGAGAACTCAGGTTCCAATTTTCTTATTTTAATAGTTGGTTCATGACCATCGATCGGTCGGAAGGAAGCGGCTGTTTTTTCTTTCTTTTGCTCTGGTTGCCTTGACCAGAGAGTACCAACCCGTTTAGAATGAATCCTATCCAAAGATAAAGTTTTCCAGACTGCGGGACATTTTCCGTAGTAGGCCGAGTTTGACTCTATCGCCTTACACACAGCCCTCTTTTTAGCTCTACCACAATTTCGGTGCCATCACAAGAAAGAATGAAGAAAGCGTACTACGCGCTATACAGGCAGACGGACAGAAGAGAGAGATCTATCTAGAAAGTCAGTCTTCTTTGACTAATCTTGGGTCCTATGCTTGCCCCTTCCTTAATTTAATAATATAGGAAATGGGCATAGACCCGGAAAGAACTAGTCAAGCTAAAGAAGAAAGAGAGACTGAACAACCAAGAACGGCAGGAACTACAACTTCAATCACTGAAAGAGAACTTATTCAGATGAATAGTGTGCCGGTGCCCCCAAAAACCCTACATTAGCAGTTCGGGTGGAATCAGACATAAACCAAGTCCAAGAAGACCGAGGAGTCCTTAGCACAAGCACTAAGTAAGAAAGCTACCTTGGGGAGAAGGTAGCGCACTAATTCTATCCTCCTTTCCTGCTACTAGGGAAGCGCGTGCTACTGCTACTACTTTTTCACCTGCTCCGACAGGATTCCTAAGGAAAGCGCTTCTGAGTCGGTCTTGGCATAATTCCGTTGTAAGAAGTCCCCCGGTTCTGGACTAAACAAGTATAGCCAAAAAGAATTCCCTTCGTAAATCGAAATAGAGTGATGTGAAATCTTATTTCGTAGTAACTGCAACCTGACTACTATTCTTTTCAATTTGTTACGTGCCTTATATCGCCGTTGGACATTATGTGATGTTATCGACTGGAGTCAAAGTTGCGGTTTATCTATCGATCTCTCATATGGCTTCAAAGACGGAGTGAAATTAATCACAGGCCCTAAGCCGCCTGGGGTTTGAGCAGCGGCGAAGGAGATCTTGTCAAGCGCACTGGGTATATTTATATTATGGAAAGACCCACTTCCACTTTCCTACCGTACTACACGAGGGGAGGAAACTTAATAAATAGCGTAGATAAGGAAGTGGCTATTCTTTTTCATGACTCCGCTCGAATAAGCTCTTTGCGCAAGAAAGGGATATGAGATAGATGCCAACAATCGGTATAAAAAGATAGAGTAACTTACTGGTACCCCTGTCACTCTTGTTTTGATGCTTAAATCAAGGCCTTTCGAAAAAAGAAAGAGGTCTGATGTGTCACTAGCCGAGTTAGAGGGCTAACCTAACCTTCAATAGACTCTTTCTGCAAGAAAATGACATAATTCTAATAAGGAAAATGCATCGAATGCTCTTGTTACAGAATAGGCAGCTGTGAGGGGAGGTTTGGATTGGACAATAAGGGCTTTGCGCCTTAGACGGTCTTTCTCTTTGTGCAAATCCAGTGTCGAAGGCCCAGTGAATCAAGCAATTGAATCCGAATCGGTGAGAATCTGCTCCACATTCATGCCCAGAATCGTTAGCTACTGGCTTGACCGAAGGTTGAGCTACTTGTTTACTTACTTGCTCGTTAGAGGGGGAGGCTAAAGCAGTCTCTGCACTGGGATTAGCTCTATTATGGGAGTTTACTTGCTTGAAAAGGTGCGAACGAAGAGAGCTAGTCAGGAGTAGAACAGAAGCATGAGTTGAGTGGTGAGCAGGGTAGCGAAACTAGGAACGGAGTTGGCTTGTTAGAGCTAGGCTGTTGAGTTAAAGTAAGCGAGCTAGTCATACGAGCCAGTGAGTCTGCTAACTTGTTATAGATTTATTGGGCACGTGCCTCCTTCCTTCTTCTTTGAAGCTTTTGAGCAGGTCGATCGCGAGCTCTTGATATGGTAAACTGGAGTGAAACGTTAGAGACTGAGGGCTAAAGATGTCGTTGGAACGCTTTAACAAGGCCGTTACGGAGATTGGATGCTGGCATGACGACTGGGTGAAAGGCTTCTGGGTCAAGTTGAATATCTGTAGGGGCTTTCGCCTAAAAGGATCCTCAATCACGGAGTCTATTCTGGAGCTTCCCAAAAGTTCTATCTGACTTGAATGCGGGAAGATATGTATGAATCACCCCCATTTGTACGGTCTTTCAGAAGAGTGTTCTTAAAAGGCGTGGAAACTGAAACCGCTGTTGTCTGGTGGAATAAGTCGAGTCGGGGAATCGGTTGTTTCGGAAAATCCGTTGTTCGGGGAATCCTTTTTCCTTTCAAAATTGAACTAGTCTTTCGCCTACGTTCGATTGCCTATCTTTTGCAACCTTGAGATCTTCAAATAGTCCCCTCAGATTTGAATACGATCTAATAAGAGTATCCTTCAGGGCGGGATCTTCGAGGGCATCATACCATTCGTCGTACTTCATGACTTTCTCTATAACAACGGCTCCTCCTGTCTTTTCTGGCTTGTATGGAATAGCTTGGTCTTTCGCACTTGCATCTCCAATTTCCAATATCTGCTTAAGGCTGTATTCGCCCCATACCACTTTCTTTTTTTCCATTTTAGGTATATATCGGCAGATTCTTCCCCATCCTTTGTGTACTTTGACATTTATCTGCCTCCCCTCAAACTCGGGGAAGAGCGCCCTTATTTGTTTAAAGCACTTATATCTGGACGCATTCTCATTTAAGACACCTACATGATAGTGGTACCCTCCGTCTTAATGTCTCTCCGTTGCTACTACTATAGACCTACACGTAAATAGCTTCATGATTCTGTCTCGCGCTTGAGTTTGCGATACTGGTCTTCGCTCAGCATGTGCCAGTCTTATTAGTAAGAATTGTCTCAAGGATTCTAGTTGGACACACATTCTAGTCTAGTTTGCTCGTTCTTCCTTCTTCTTGAGAAGGGGCATACCATAAAAAAAGAAAGACAAAAACCCAGTGCGTTTTGTATAGATCGAGACTTGTAGCTTGATTCTTTACTCATTCCATACTGGGAATAATTGCAGGAAATCGTTCGATAACACTTCTTCCAATTTATCAATGATATCAGACGATCATCCCGTGAAACAAAGGAGAGTTCATTCTTGGGATGAATAAATAGAGACTACTACAACGGGATAGACCACAACTTCGGGATCAACTTCAATGAATTATAGCGTAACGGGCTTGGTATAGATCCGTAGCCCGCTCTAGGTCTTTACCCTAAACTGGAATTAGGCATGGAAAAGCTCGATCAATGTCCTCCTCTCCCGAGGCCCGAAATGTGGAGACAGGCCGATGATGCAATAGTTAGCGGACAAATAGTCTTCAGTAGTTGGTGATGTCGAAATCTTTCATACAGAACGAAATCGAACGGGCTAATAGTGCAAGAGCGTAGTAAGGGCGCGGGAGCATTCTCCGCGAGCATCCTCTCATCGGAGTCCCCAGTTGAAAGTTCCTCAATCGGGGAGAGCCCACCAAAGGTCGATGATGAGGACGCTGGCAACAGCATATTCCCGGGAATTTTGGCATCAAGCCGCTTCCTCCTTGAAGGCGTAAGGAAGAGCTTATTCATGTGCAGTTGATTCTCGAACAAGAACTTGAGATTCTTGCGGGGGATTATGCACGTATGTTCCTTACAGCCGGCTGCTTGCAGAAAGATCCCCCTAGTGGAATAACGTGGGTGTGCAGGCGGGTAAGAATAGACAAGTGGTTTTGGGGGCTAGACAGCAAGTATCTTTTACAGAGGGTAAAAAAGATGTGCCATTTCTCTTCGATCTCCAGACCATAATGTGAATGGCAGCTTTGGTATAAGTAGGAGTGGAGTTGGAGATATCGACTGCATGCGGAACATAGAAGAAGAAGGAGGTGGTGCCTCAGGAGAACTACGACTTGGATCAAGAGCAGGTGATGTGTCCACTGCTGTAGTGGAAGGCAGCAATGAAGCATTTGAGTAGGGACAACTAGATGTAGTGGAGTGAGTCACAGGTGGCTCGGCATTGAGTTCAGATGTGAGAAAGAACTGTAGAGGCAAGGAGAGAAGAAGGGAGATATCGAGAGAGAGAGGTCAAGTGGGAGAGTACTTGGACAGGGATGATTGAGGAAGGGAAAAAGACTTTTGTAAAGATCCCGATCTTACTAGTGATATGCGGGACAAAGATCGTTATAAGTTTTCCAAGTTGCCAAGAAAAAGTTCCTTTGCACGAGTAAGAAAGCGATGTCTTTTCACGGGTCGCCCCCGTTCCATATATGAGTTCTTTCGAATTTCTCTTATCGTCGTGGATTAGCATCTTGAGGTTCTTTGATAGGCATAAAGAAATCGTTTTGGTAGCAACCACCAAACCAATAGAACAAGGGTTAGCTCTGCAGCTGGTCCATAAGCAAGGTAAGTAGATCCATTACCGGCCGGCTCCGGACCTTAAAGACCTAACGGAGTAACCCCTTATCTAGCATCGAAGATGCTAACGGGGCTGGGGGACCTCTCTACCGCCTCTGTCTATCTCCTGTCAAGTATGCTCCCCAGACATAGACTACGTTACGTACAGGGTAGTACTCTTGAAAAGAAAGAATATCACCGCGTGAACATAACATTAAGTTATATTCATAACTTACCCGAGGGATCGACCACTATTCTAAATAGAGTAAGGCGGAGAACTGTTGTTCATTGGAGCACCGGAGTGCGGAGGTTGTTCCCATCATTGAAGTCAGAGTGTGGGACTGAGCCCTTCGAATGATAAAGACAAAAAAGCCCTTAGTTTCGTTGGAAAAACCAACGCACATCATATTGACTTTCTCTCGCCCTACTTCTAAGGATAGATAGAAAAGAAAGGGTTGGAGAGAGTGACTTTAAAAAATTCTCTCCTTTCTAAAGCTGCGAAAGGCGGCCCCCCCAGAACAAAGCCCCACCCTTCTTTTCCCCCTTTAATGAAAGACCCTCGCCCCGCTTCCTATTCATTTGTGGGTCGGGACCCGAGGGCCTTTTTTTCTCAATTTCAAGAATCTCCCAACCGACAAATCCGTAGCTCAGGTGACTGACAGCCTCCCTCTCGCCTAAATGAAATGGGATGAATCAAATCAATAAGCTTTTTAATTGATTCAGGGCGCAGCGAAGCCAAATTCAATCAAGGCAAGGGGGGCTTACTTTTCCTGACACTGAGTCATCCTATTCAAATTTAGCTATGCTAATGGAACAGGAAAAGTTTTCAGATGATATGGATCCCAAGAGATGAGCGAGAACCTCCAATTGTTTAGGGGTCGCACTCTGTCCCGCTTGGTGTGGTGGACGAAAGATTCTCTCCTTTTAGAATTCTTTCTCCCACACGCCTTTGCCCTCTTTCACCGAAGAGGAAATAAGAATCTTCCAAGCGGACAGAGACCTAAATTTCCATTAGATTCATTCCTAAGCTTGCTTTGTTCCAGAAAGATGATCAGTCCGAGAGGGCTGGAGGGAAGATAAAGCGGTCAAAATCTCTCTGATTTGATCACCGAGCAGTCGGACGACTTTTCAGTAACCCAGGATGACCCCTTCGACGCTTCTTTCGCTGTATACCCCCTACATCCTTCGGAGTTGGAAGAAAGGTAACTATATATAGAATATATATAGTTAGTTAAGTAGGGCCCCAGAACGCTAAAAAGGTGGGGGAACAAGAGTTGTCACGATAGGAAAGAGAAATGACTATAAGGAACCAACGATTCTCTCTTCTTAAACAACCTATATCCTCCACACTTAATCAGCATTTGATAGATTATCCAACCCCGAGCAATCTTAGTTATTGGTGGGGGTTCGGTTCGTTAGCTGGTATTTGTTTAGTCATTCAGATAGTGACTCGGCGTTTTTTAGCTATGCATTACACACCTCATGTGGATCTAGCTTTCAACAGCGTAGAACACGTTATGAGAGATGTTGAAGGGGGCTGGTTGCTCCGTTATATGCATGCTAATGGGGCAAGTATGTTTTTCATTGTGGTTTACCTTCATATTTTTCGCGGTTTATATTATGCGAGTTATAGCAGTCCTAGGGAATTTGTTTGGTGTCTCGGAGTTGTAATCTTCCTATTAATGATTGTGACAGCTTTTATAGGATACGTACTACCTTGGGGTCAGATGAGCTTTTGGGGAGCTACAGTAATTACAAGCTTAGCTAGCGCCATACCTGTAGTAGGAGATACCATAGTGACTTGGCTTTGGGGTGGTTTCTCCGTGGACAATGCCACCTTAAATCGTTTTTTTAGTCTTCATTATTTACTCCCCTTTATTTTAGTAGGCGCCAGTCTTCTTCATCTGGCTGCATTGCATCAATATGGATCAAATAATCCATTGGGTGTACATTCAGAGATGGATAAAATTTCTTTTTACCCTTATTTTTATGTAAAGGATCTAGTAGGTTGGGTAGCTTTTGCTATCTTTTTTTCCATTTGGATTTTTTATGCTCCTAATGTTTTAGGGCATCCCGACAATTATATACCTGCTAATCCGATGTCCACCCCGCCTCATATTGTGCCGGAATGGTATTTCCTACCGATCTATGCCATTCTTCGTAGTATACCCGACAAATCGGGAGGTGTAGCCGCAATAGCACCAGCTTTTATATGTCCGTTGGCTTTACCTTTTTTAAAAGTATGTATGTGCGTAGTTCAAGTTTTCGCCCGATTCACCAAGGAATCTTTTGGTTGCTTTTGGCGGATTGCTTACTACTAGGTTGGATCGGATGTCAACTAGTGGAGGCACCATTTGTTACTATTGGACAAATTTCTCCTTTTGTTTTCTTCTTGTTCTTTGCCATAACGCCCATTCCGGACGAGTTGGAAAAGAAATTCCTAATTCTTACACGGATGAGACCGAGCACACTCGATCAATGAAAAATTCGACACCAAGAATTGACAAATGAGTATTACACCAAGAATTGACAAGCGGATGAGTTCTCTAGTTGGCTATGTTGATATAGCTTAGATAGGGAAAAGAGACTGATTTTCGTACGCAAAAGCCCGCTATTAGTTGAGTGTCCCAGCCACCTTCCAACTCCAACCCGAGTGAAAGCAATTGATTGGATCGAGTCACTCGACCCACCACCCGTCTTGGCCTAAGCTATAGTTGAACCGGTTTCTTTTCTTTATAGTAGTGACCATAGGCGGTAGGACAACGACGAAACCAATAGTACCGAGAGTCGAGTTAAGAAGTTCGATTTCATAAGCAAAGAGAGAAGGATCAACCCTCCAACTAACCATCCTTCCCATTCCGCAAGAAAAGAGAAAGAGAAAGTGGTCAAGCTAAAGATCTCGCCTAGTAAAGCTAAAACCGACCTCTACGCAAAGGTTGCTTACTACGGCCTCGTGGGCGTAAGAAGCAGCTTCATCTCAATCCGCGCTTTCTAAGGGAAGGCTTTAGCTTTCCAATCGTAGGCCCGGGCCTTCGACCCTTTCTGGAGAGGCAACCGTCTTGTCTTAACCGTCCCGAGCTACCGTTGTGGGTTGTGCTCGCAAACGAGTTGTCCTAAATGCCCCAGCAAGCCGCAAGAAGCTCGAGCGAAGTTTCAAGCAAGTTCCTCGCATCTCACCTAACCACTCTATTTCTCCTGAAGGCAACGTGATAAGCAACTTGACTTCTTTGATCACTTGAAAGAGTGGGGTATCGACTCAAAGAAATGTTCATAATCGCCTTTCAAACAGGCCCGTGTAGCTTGCTTCTTTTATCTATCTCGCTCGCTCTCGGCTCTAAGACAGTAAGGTTAGTTTACTTCTCGACCAAAGCGGAGAGGCAGTGAAGTAGGGTTAGTGGAGTGAAGTACTCTAAGTAGCTCGCCACGTGAAAGCTATAGATGTTGTTGTACTTGATTCACCTACGTAAATAGAAAACTTGCTTGGGTAAGGGCTTTTCTTCATCGTTATAGGGCGAAGGCCTTCTCCTTCATCCCTTGCTTCTTTGATAGTGCTTTCTCTTTCTTTTCGAGTGAAGGCAAGATAAGTGCATACACCAAACACTGTGGCTAGACTTTGAATGAATCACTAACTTACTCGGTTTGCTTAATATAACCTTCCCGACGTGCTTACTACTATAGCTACATAGCTCGATTGAAATGATTTTGAGTCTCCCTTCCTTACGAGATATCTCTGGGGATTCAAACCTCTAAACAAAGGGATACGATTTCACTTGGGCTAGCTTTCTTTCTATCACGCTTCCCAACTCGAGTTCCGGCAAAAGGGAATTTCTATAGCTATAGAACGATGGGTACTCTAGCGAAAGGGTAACTAAAAAGGGGTAGGCTAAAGGCCGGGCAAGAGGGTTAGAGCGGGGAGGCTTCTTCCAGCCTCTCACTCCAAAGACTGGATTACAGGGTATACTACGGCACTGTGTTAGAGGGAATTTTTTACTATAGTAACGTAACGCTGGGTTGGCTAGTTTGCTTATGCTATCCCGCTTCCTCTAGCCTGGTTTAGAACCTTCCCATACCGATAATGAAATAGATCTAGCTCTAGTACTAGGTCTACCCCCTACTCTAGAACCTACAGCACTGGTGGGATTACTAACTACGCATACATACCTTACTTTAGCTCTAGAACTCGAAAGAGGGGCTTACTTGTTGGCAGTGTTGGCTTCTTCTATCCTCACCTTGCTTCCTTTAGGCGTGTGCACCGGCCTTGCTTGCTTTACCTTACCCTATTGCTATTGTCTATTCTTTATAGTAGTTCCGAGCGCAGGTCGTCCTAACCTTCGTCTATCCGATTCATCGTCTTTCGTCTTCCGTTCTTTCTAACATTTCTTCGAACCCCTCTCGGACTCCCCCACCCATTCTTGCCTCAAGGTCTTTGGGAGTACTTGTTCTATTCTACTTGAAATGAGCGCACCTCGGGAAATGGCTTTTTCTTTCGAGAGTTGGCTTTCTGAAGCTCGATAATCACACGGATTATCGTTGCTATGACCCTCCTCCTAGTCAATGCTTGTCACCTCAGAGTCTATAGCCATGTGATTCTATGGATAATCTTACCTTCCACTCTTTGACCTCCTATTAGCCCACTTCCGAGCCTGCTCAGTCCTTTTTCTAAATGGTTACTTTTCCCGAAAATCCTTTTTTTTTGTGGCACACCTCCCTCTCCCTATCTGGTCGAGTATTCAACCTCCCTCCGAGCCCCCCGTTCCTCGGACAAACTCTCGCAGCGAAGATGGAGATTTGCCTCTTCATGTTCTTGACAACTCCACCGTCGCCCATACTCGAAATAGCTCGCGCGGACCTCTCTTCCGACATGATTATAAGCTCTCTCTCGCCTTCGGTTCCACGCTACGCCGGTCAACGCTCCGGTCGGGCCGGGTGAGACTCGTTTATGTGCCACCCGTGACTTCCCACAAATCATGCACCTTAAGATACGACCTTGTGCATGTCGACCAATGGTCGAGTTCAGCTTTTCGCCAATCAGGTTAGAGATTGACGCATCCACCATGGCTCTCAACCGACTACTAAGCACTCTTGGAAAGAACAAGACTCGTCCTTCGAACTTCCGTTATGACTAAAAGCCCCGAGTCAAACCGCCTTTGTTGTTGCTCGTATAGCTTTCTAGAGCGGAGATCTAGCAACGCTGCGCGGATCATTGGTATTGGATGTATCGTTAGGTTGTGCCGAGTCAAATCTGCTCCTTTTTTTCATTGCGGAAAAGAGATCCCTTCCCCTCGATTTAAAAAATGTTGAATATGAAGTCCGTGGGCCGCAGGTACTATGGATCCTCCGACTCTCAATCGGGTTGGGTTGCCTTCCTGTGTCTCGCCGATCTTGCTCGTAGGTCGTGATGTGCCTCGAGATGGCCGTCTCCCCGCCCCCCGTCGGTGGGGAATCCGCTCCCGGGTTGTCGCTCTGCTGCGTCCGGCCCGTCCTCTAGGCACCTTTGGAAGGCCGAAAGTGTGACAACGTACACGCTTCCCTTTACTCCATAGGGCCTTCTCATCAGTTGCAGGGTTTGGTGGCCCGAAATTGACTTGGCTTCGCCAAAAGGCCTCATCTCTAGAAGCCCGGCTCACGAGGCGTCCTTCTCGCAGTAGGGTTCCAGACCTCGCCTCGCTCTTGTGACATGCTATCTTTCCCCTCTTTATTTCCAAGTAAAGGGTGAGTCCCATGCGTCAGTTTGTGGATCGCGGTCTCACGCACTAATCCCTACAGGTGCCCGTAGTAGGCCGGCCGCCTTACCTAAACCAATCATCATATCGGCCCCTAAGCCCCATTGCTAGAAAGGCTCAACTTCAAAACCGTACGTGGAGCTTCCGCCTCATACGGCTCCTCTAAGGATAGGGATGGAGGTAGGCCCGGTCCCGACTTGTGCGGTTAAGGTTGTTGTACACGATTTCATAAAAAAGAAAGAAGAGAAAGAATTGGGAGTTGGCGCCCGCTTGCTTACCAAGCGATCCCGCCTTTTCACTCCTCGACATCTCCAAGAGGGGTCTTCGATCCGCGCCCAGGGAGAAGATTCACCTTCTCTTATCCCCAGGCAGGATTATAGGAAGACAGAATTACCTATGTCTCCCCCGATCCCGGTTGAATTGCTCCCAATTCTCTTGTTGGAGAATGGGAAGTCTTTCTCGGAAGGCCTGTATTCGAGCTTGGGTCTCCTCGAAGCGGCCCCGTATAGTTGGGTCGACCCGTTGAGCCCGAGCCTCGACTTCCGCTCGTTCTTGGGCATCTTCCTCTCGTCTAACCTCATCCAGGGCCCGGCATTCATTGATTCGCTCAATAATTTTGTCAATGCGCTCCCCTAAAACCCTCACTTCCTCTAAGTTGGCCCGAACTTCGGCTGGAGTGGTGGGGGGTCTACTCTCCAAAATTTCGAGGTCCCTGTTTGCCTCTTCAAGTTGGTCCATTAGTAAGGAAAGCATCGGGTTAGGACTCGGTGTCCGGTTAAGGTCGACCGGTTGATTTGCAACAGGCGCCTGCGCCGGCACGTTGTCGGGCTGGTGCGCTTCCATAGGATTCGAAAGCTAAAGCAAAAAAAATCTTTTATATGAAAGAATTCATTAATTCTAAGAAGGACGGGGAAGTTTGTAAAAGAAATTCGGATGTCTGTGGAAGAGGCAATAGAAATTGGAATTGTATATAGTGAATATAAAAATACATTCTTTGAATCAATGGATTTATCTACTGTTAAAGAAATTCAATCTATGGTACTAAATGGCAAATATAATTTCTCACCACTCATCCTTGAATCCCGGCCAGGATCCCTAATGGTGCATGAAATGGAACCCGGAATTACGATTACAGACTTGCCCCTGGATGCTTGTGTCGTTCGTCCCACAATGAAGGATAATCTCGTCTTGATAGCGCTTGCTCGTATGCTAAATACTTATTTTCTTTCATCTTCATGCTTTATGAAAGAATGTCTTGCTCTTGATCAGAGTCACATAGAATTTTATTCTAAATTGCTTTGCTGGGGAAAAGTAGATAAGCTTTATTATCTTAATCTTTATGATTCAATCAGTTCTCTTTCGCGCATTCTACTCTTAAGAAAAATCAACTATATTGTAAAGGGCATTAGAGAATTAGTATCTTCTTTGATAGAATTACCTATAATTGATTATAATGGTATAGACAGGTCATCGTCTATTGGTATACCGCCTCTTGCCTATATAACAGATGTCTTAGTGAATTTCTTATTGGACAACTTCGATAGTCTTAGTGCACATCCTAACGCTTACTATGTGAGGTCTCTCTATTCATGCTTTATAGCCTATCCACTGTTCTCACCTTTGGGGTCTCTTTTGGATGGCGATCTTATTGAATGCTACCTCTTAGAGCTAGATCTCTCAGGTAAAGTAGATCTTCTATTACCGGAGGGAGAACCACTTAGCTTAAAGGAAGGATTAGTCAAGGTGAATCGGGTCGGAGAAATATGCATCGCACAACATCCCATCAAGAGAAGATAAAGAGTGTGGGATAAATTTCTTATAAAAGAGAAGGTAAAAGCTAGAAAGAAAGAAAGCAGAACCGGACCAGCAGCCTATGCTACACCGTGAAAGCCAAAGCTAGAAAGCTAGCTAGCAAGCATCTCCCGTTCAAGATCGTCCAAAGCACGACTTTCTTATGCTATTGATTAAGTTATCGATGTAGCAGCTGACTCGCCGAGTCCGTTGATTACGATAGCCGTAAAGCCAAGCTAGCCACCAACCATAAAGAGAGCGTCTTTCGGTCGGAGAGTGGGTGGATATAATAAGTTTGCGATAGAACCCCAGATGGAAAGAAGAAAGAACTCTTATAGTATTAGGTATCTTAACTGTCTGAATTGAATCCATTAGGTTCTTCGATTTGTTCAGAAAAGAAACGAAAGACAAGAAAACATCTTTGATTACGATTAAAAGGAACAATCTCAAATAGACCAAGATCCAATTTCGGGTCATTTCTTGGTGAACATAATCTGCCATAATCTCTTCGATCCCTTCATTTATATGCCAGAATAAAGAGAGATTTGGTAGGAAAGTGGAAGAGACTTTTTTGTATATGATAATCAAAGGGAGCAGCAAAGCTGCAGTAATTCTTTGGAAAAGCCCGATTCTCTTTGTCTTCGAGCTTTCATTCCTCAATCCACTCTTTCGTTCCTTCATATACCCCCCACCAATAGATAGAAACAAATAGGAATAACCAAACCACGTCTACAAAATGCCAGTACCATGCAGCTGCTTCAAAGCCAACGTGATGCTCCTTGGTCAGATGACCAAGATATTGGCGAATACCACATATGATCAAGAAAAGAGTACCTATAATCACATGAAAACCATGAAAGCCAGTTGCTAAGAAAAAGGTAGAACCATAAATACTATCCGAAATAGTGAAGGGTGCTTGATAATATTCCATTCCTTGAAAGCCAGTGAATACTAGAGCCAGTAAAACGGTAGCTGCTAAAGCATAAACTGCTCGTTTTTCCTTCCCCGCGAGTATAGCATGATGAGCCCAAGTTACGGCAGCTCCGGATGAAAGGAGAATAAGGGTATTAAGAAAAGGGATTTCCCAAGGATCTAAAACCCCAATCCCTTTTGGGGGCCAAATACCTCCGATCTCTACCGTAGGCGCCAAAGAAGAATGAAAAAAAGCCCAAAAAAAAGCAAAAAAGAACATAACCTCCGATACGATGAACAGAATAAAACCATATCGAAGTCCTAATTGTACGACTTTGGTATGATGTCCTTCCAACGTGGACTCACGTAGAACATCGCGCCACCATACAAACATAGTATATAGGATAAATATGAGGCCCAAACTGAGAAGTGTTGCACCCCCTTGAAATGAGTGCATGTACATCACACCTCCAACGGTGGTTGCCAAAGCTCCGAGTGAACCCGAAATAGGCCATGGACTTGGATCTACCAAATGATAAGAATGCCTCTGAGATTCAATCATAAACAACTTTGCGTCGGTTGTATTATGTAAACCTCCCCTTCACCCCTACCTCCTAACGTGGTAAAGAAGGGCTCTTTGGGGTCTAATTTTCTTTATATCTGACAGGACAAACAAATAGGAAGGGATAGTTCTTTCATTGCATTGATAGAAGTCTAACAAGATCTCTCTATTACTTTGACTTTGAGAAGAGAATCGTTGGTTTAACCGACGAACTACGTGGGAAAATGGATCTTCTTTCTTTGATTTTCAGAAAGCATTTTTGGAAAGTAAGAATTCCATTCAGTTCGGTTTTGGAAAACTTGCTGGTCGCGGATTAGTGCGTTCTGCGCCGTCGGCGGCGGCGCAGGTTGATCTCTCTGGTTGAGGCTACATTTCTTTATGAAACTTGACACGTGGGAAGAGCTTACTCTCCTAGTGGCTCGGCTTGGTCTCGCTCCCTTCCCGAACTATTGCTCCCCACTAAAAAAAAAGAGCGATTGATAAGATAATTTCGAAAAACTTTATGAACATCCGTCTTCGCGGGGCGATTTGAAAAAGAGTATATCTTTCTTGTAGTGCTTTCCATTCCACTATTCTGATCGAGAAAGAATCTCTTCCGAACGACCATAATGAGATTAAAAAACGATGCTTCCTTGGCCGTGTAGAACATGGATTAGCATTATGTCATTCCTACAAGTGATCCCCCATCCAGGATTAAATCCTGTGCCCTTTGAGGACTTCGAGATAAAATAGAATATGTTTCTTTCCATTCCTCGGGAGCCACTTATTTCTCCGAAACAAGAGATCAAAGTTCTTTTTTTCCCAAGAAGTCGACAGCCTTACACCATTGGGATACTTCGAATAAACTAGAGTACATATAGGATACACCGGTGCTAAAACCTTTTCTCAAGATATCTTCCAAACTGTTAGGGTCCTTGCTCCGGATCTTCTTTCTCCGTTGTGAAAGGAGTTGGTTCCGTAGTTTTAGAATTCTGCTGATCCCAAGTACTCCATCTCCATCATTGCATATAAAAATATAGAAAGTAAAGAAGAAAAGGCATAACCAGAAGAATTGTGTAAAATAAGTAAATTTATCCAGTTGAGGCATGCGAAAAAAGAAAGACTAAAAATAAGAAAGTTATTAATGACTGGACAAAACCAAGAAATAACCCCTCACGTGCGAAATTATAGAAGATCCCCTTTAAGATCAAACAATTCCATCGAATTGAGTATGATTGTATGTGTGATAGCACCGTCGAGGTCGAGTCGAGTTCGGGACCTAAAAGATCGAATGGAAGAAGACATAGACAAGTAAATCCCTCGAATTCCCAGTATCTTGGAATTCATCATTCGAAGGGAAGTAGACTACTCAAGAATTTCGCATTGCATTTAGGTCGTAATTGTGATAATTGAATAAAGAATTCAGAAATTCTAAAAAAAAACGGAAAAGAAGAATGAATCAATGAAATGTTGCCCGACCCTCTCGGACCGATCATCTTTCCGGAACAAAGCAAGCTTAGGAATGAATCTAATGGAAATTTAGGTCTCTGTCCGCTTGGAAGATTCTTATTTCCTCTTCGGTGAAAGAGGGAAAAGGCGTGTGGGAGAAAGAATTCTAAAAGGAGAGAATCTTTCGTCCACCACACCAAGCGGGACAGAGTGCGACCCCTAAACAATTGGAGGTTCTCGCTCATCTCTTGGGATCCATATCATCCGAAAACTTTTCATGTTCCATTAGCATAGCTAAATTTGAATAGGATGACTCAGTGTCAGGAAAAGTAAGCCCCCCTTGCCTTGATTGAATTTGGCTTCGCTGCGCCCTGAATCAATTAAAAAGCTTATTGATTTGATTCATCCCATTTCATTTAGGCGAGAGGGAGGCTGTCAGTCACCTGAGCTACGGATTTGTCGGTTGGGAGATTCTTGAAATTGAGAAAAAAAGGCCCTCGGGTCCCGACCCACAAATGAATAGGAAGCGGGGCGAGGGTCTTTCATTAAAGGGGGAAAAGAAGGGTGGGGCTTTGTTCTGGGGGGGCCGCCTTTCGCAGCTTTAGAAAGGAGAGAATTTTTTAAAGTCACTCTCTCCAACCCTTTCTTTTCTATCTATCCTTAGAAGTAGGGCGAGAGAAAGTCAATATGATGTGCGTTGGTTTTTCCAACGAAACTAAGGGCTTTTTTGTCTTTATCATTCGAAGGGCTCAGTCCCACACTCTGACTTCAATGATGGGAACAACCTCCGCACTCCGGTGCTCCAATGAACAACAGTTCTCCGCCTTACTCTATTTAGAATAGTGGTCGATCCCTCGGGTAAGTTATGAATATAACTTAATGTTATGTTCACGCGGTGATATTCTTTCTTTTCAAGAGTACTACCCCGTACGTAACGTAGTCTATGTCCGGGGAGCATACTTGACGGGAGATAGACGAGAGGCGGTAGAGAGGTCCCCAGCCTCGTTAGCATCTTCGATGCTAGATAAGGGGTTACTCCGTTAGGTCTTTAAGGTCCGGAGCCGTACGGTAATGGATCTACTTACCTTGCTTATGGACCAGCTGCGAGCTAACCCTTGTTCTATTGGTTTGGTGGTTGCTACCAAAACGATTTCTTTATGCCTATCAAAGAACCTCAAGATGCTAATCCACGACGATAAGAGAAATTCGAAAGAACTCATATATGGAACGGGGTCGACTCGTGAAAAGACATCGCTTTCTTACTCGTGCAAAGGAACTTTTTCTTGGCAACTTGGAAAACTTATAACGATCTTTGTCCCTCATATCACTAGTAAGATCGGGCTCTTTACAAAAGTCTTTTTCCCTTCCTCAATCATCCCCTGTCCAAGTACTCTCCCACTTGACCTCTCTCTCTCGATATCTCCCTTCTTCTCTCTTGCCTCTGCAGTTCTTTCTCACATCCGAACTCAATGCCGAGCCACCTATGACTCACTCCACTACATCTAGTTGTCCCTACTCAAATGCTTCATTCGTCGCCTTCCACTACGGCAGTGGACACATCACCTCGCTCTTGATCCAAGTCGTAGTTCTCCCGAGGCACCACCTCCTTCTTCTTCTATGTTCTCGCATGCGGTCGATATCTCCAACTCCACTCCTACTTATACCAAAGCCGCCATTCACATTATGGCTCGGAGATTGAAGAGAAATGGCACATCTTTTTTACCCTCTCGTAAAAGATACTTGTCGCCTAGCCCCCAAAACCACTTGTCTATTCTTACCCGCCCGCACACCCACGTTATTCCACTAGGGGGATCTTTCTCGCAAGCAGTGCTACTGTAAGGAACATACGTGCATAATCCCCGCAAGAATCTCAAGTTCTTGTTCGAGAATCAACTGCACATGAATAAGCTCTTCCTTACGCCTTCGAGGAGGAAGCGGCTTGATGCCAAAATTCCCGGGAATATGCTTGTTGCCGGCGTCCTCATCATCAACCTTTGGTGGGCTCTCCCCGATTGAGGAACTTTCAACTGGGGACTCCGATGAGAGGATGCTCGCGGAGAATGCTCCCGTGCCCTTACTATGCTCTTGCACTATTAGCCCGTTCGATTTCGTTCGTATGAAAGATTTCGACATCACCAACTACCGAAGACTATTTGTCCGCTAACTATTGCATCATCGGCTGTCTCCACATTTCGAGCCTCGGGAGAGGAGGACATTGATCGAGCTTTTCCATGCCTAATTCCAGTTTAGGGTAAAGACCTAGAGCGGGCTACGGATCTATACCAAGCCCGTTACGCTATAATTCATTGAAGTTGATCCCGAAGTTGTGGTCTATCCCGTTGTAGTAGTCTCTATTTATTCATCCCAAGAATGAACTCTCCTTTGTTTCACGGGATGATCGTCTGATATCATTGATAAATTGGAAGAAGTGTTATCGAACGATTTCCTGCAATTATTCCCAGTATGGAATGAGTAAAGAATCAAGCTACAAGTCTCGATCTATACAAAACGCACTGGGTTTTTGTCTTTCTTTTTTTATGGTATGCCCCTTCTCAAGAAGAAGGAAGAACGAGCAAACTAGACTAGAATGTGTGTCCAACTAGAATCCTTGAGACAATTCTTACTAATAAGACTGGCACATGCTGAGCGAAGACCAGTATCGCAAACTCAAGCGCGAGACAGAATCATGAAGCTATTTACGTGTAGGTCTATAGTAGTAGCAACGGAGAGACATTAAGACGGAGGGTACCACTATCATGTAGGTGTCTTAAATGAGAATGCGTCCAGATATAAGTGCTTTAAACAAATAAGGGCGCTCTTCCCCGAGTTTGAGGGGAGGCAGATAAATGTCAAAGTACACAAAGGATGGGGAAGAATCTGCCGATATATACCTAAAATGGAAAAAAAGAAAGTGGTATGGGGCGAATACAGCCTTAAGCAGATATTGGAAATTGGAGATGCAAGTGCGAAAGACCAAGCTATTCCATACAAGCCAGAAAAGACAGGAGGAGCCGTTGTTATAGAGAAAGTCATGAAGTACGACGAATGGTATGATGCCCTCGAAGATCCCGCCCTGAAGGATACTCTTATTAGATCGTATTCAAATCTGAGGGGACTATTTGAAGATCTCAAGGTTGCAAAAGATAGGCAATCGAACGTAGGCAAAAGACTAGTTCAATTTTGAAAGGAAAAAGGATTCCCCGAACAATGGATTTTCGAAACAACCGATTCCCCGACTCGACTTATTCCACCGGACAATAGCGGTTTCGGTTTCCACACCTTTTAAGAACACTCTTCCGAAAGACCGTATAAATGGGGGTGATTCATACATATCTTCCCGCATTCAAGTCGGATAGAACTTTTGGGAAGCTCCAGAATAGACTCCGTGATTGAGGATCCTTTTAGGCGAAAGCCCCTACGGATATTCAACTTGACCTAGAAGCCTTTCACCCGGTCGTCATGCCGGCATCCAATCTCCGTAACGGCGATGGCTATTCATTTAAGTCTTCGGGTAGCACCACTAGATCTTCAACAAGGTGGAAATTCTCGTATTCCCTATGTACATGTTCCTGCGGCTCGGATGAGTATTCTTGTTTATATCGCTACGGCTATAAACACTTTCTTGTTCCTATTAACAAAACACCCCCTTTTTCTTCGCTCTTCCGGAACCGGTACAGAAATGGGTGCTTTTTTTACGTTGTTTACCTTAGTTACTGGAGGGTTTCGGGGAAGACACGGGTGCACTTGCGTTTTCAAAAGCTTCCCGTCGAACCAAGCTTCTATTTCAATCTGTCTTTGGACCGATCGATATACCAATAATCAAGTCTTCGATCAACCGGTGGAATACATCGCATCAACCCGGGAGCATTAGCCGATCCGGTACATCAATACATGTTCCTATGCCCATTCCAATCTTGTCTAACTTTGCTAACTCCCCCTCTCAACTCGTATCTTCTTTGTTACGGAAACACGTCTTCCTATTCCATCTTTTCTCGAATCTCCTTTAACGAAAGAAATAGAAGCTCGAGAAGGAATACCAAAACCTAGTTCACTCGCTGACTCTCTTTGCATCCATGGCTGAATGGTTAAAGCGATCAACCGGATAATAGAGTGGGTTCGATTCCTGCTGGATGCACTTTGAACGTTCAGTTCAATCGCTGCTCACGGAATTTATACATATAGCTCGCCCTTATAGCTTATGGGGCACTTCACTCGCTCAACACTCGTTCAAAACATCCACTCCTTCTTCACTCGCTAGGGAAAGAAAAGGGATAGATGATCTGAAAATCCCGCTTAGAGATCGAAACTATAGTCGAGTAGGAGTTCCCATCCATCATCTCCATCGAGGCCTCGTTTTACCTTCCAATTACGATTGATCCGTCGAATTGAAACCTCCATTAGATTCGGAAACTAAGGACGAGATTACCATTGCATCGGCTTTGATGTCCCGAATGTTCTCTTTAATAGGGTCGCCTTGATCGAGCTCTTCACCGTATAACTTTTACCCAAAAAGCCGGAGCACGACTATACTTTCATCACTTTCACTAGAACCGAGTCATAGGTGCACTTTTTGTTTTGCCTTCCATAAGTCCGGGGACGACCCCTTATGTTTTTTTGTGGAGCATAGAATTTTCCTTAATCGGCGAGAGTATATACAATCTATGCCACTTGGAAAGAGCATGATTGAGGGCTTTATACTAAAGTCCGTAACTCTTCGATTGGTCATTGGCTCTACCTCCAGCCCCTTCATATTCCGTATCCCGTCTGCTTCTTTGCTTGCTTTTCCTATGTCCCATCCCTCTCCCCTTATCGGTCGAGTCAATTACCGCTAAAGCCCTCGACCTCTTCGTTGCTTAACTTGAATTGAAAGCTTTCGGCCATCAAGCTTACCCGCCCTAGCCAAGCCTAAGTGGTGTGTCAAACAACCGAAAGCAGACGGTTATACGATCCCTAGTGCGTGCGACGAAGGAGCATGGTGAAGCGCTGCGCAAAGGAAACTAGCCTTTTGTTCCACTTTGTTGATCGTTGTAGAAAGAAGAAAATATGAAATGATTGAGGTTGAGAAAACCCTGCCGAGAATCGAGAGGCGGGAGGGCACCGAAGCTACCACCAGACTAGCGAAAGGTTTCCCGACGAGGAGAAAGATGAGCGAATGGAATGACATCATGTATGAAATTACCAACCTTCCGAAGTCAACTCCTCGCTACCGAGGTAGAAAGGCTAGTAAGTTCGGGGCCTCATTCATACTATTAGATGATGCTTCTAGTCGTCGGTGAGCCCCGTGTATCGGCCCGCTTGGATGAAAAATGCCTCCCAGAAGGAGAATGAGCCCTTGCAAAAAGGAATTTCAAGTGGTGTCGAATCAAATAAGTGAGCGAGCCCCCACACCAAGCCGTTAGAGTAGGTTATAAAGAATGGCAATTCCACCAGGCCAGCGCTCTCAGGTTGATGAGCTGCCGGGTAAAGAGCCTGATCCTTATCTAGCAGTTCAATAGGCCAAGCGGAGGTCTCGGAGGTGTAGGTGGTTCAATTGTAAAGTAGGCATTAAAATCCTGCTTCCTTGGACCGAAGCTGTAGCCGAAGTCTACTACTGAAAAGGATCGGCTCCTCCAGCCGGTTTCGGAAGGGGAATCCGCTCGGACTCTCACTCGTAGTCGAAGAGCCGGATAAACTCCTTTTAAAAAGGCATAACTCTTCTCAAGTCGCCCTTTTTCAAAAACAGGAAGAAAAGCGACTACCACTTGAAACCATTCTCCCTCTAGAAGCCACTGCAGCTTGAAAATCAATCAAGGCTTCAAGTTCACAAGTACGAAAAGACACGAGAGGAAAGAGTCGCGTATAGAGCTGCGGATTCTTTAGCAACTAGGAGAGCGACGAAGCTTCTTTTTGAAAGAAAAGGCTAAATCCCATTCTTCATTCAACCCCAAACTTCCTTACTCGCCTTAGTTCGATGGAATGCAACTAGATGAAATTCCCTCCCGGACTAAATAGGCGGGGGCTTATATGGCTTGATTGAGGTTGGCCGGAGCTAAGGGATCCGGCTCTATTGAACCAAAGCCAAAGGTAAATCGAGCTCTTTCTCTTTTATATAGTAGAGAAACTCCCCCTCAGTAACCAAATTCTAGAGCTAGGAGAGCGGACGATTCTTTTTCTTTCTAACCGCAGCTTTCCTCCATCCCGGGCTTAAGAATGCCTTGAAAGCCAGAAACTATCTAACCATACCAGTCGTTCACCCAATAAAAACTTGCCTCCGCACTCTCACTACCAATGAGAGGACTGAAAGCGGCCTACTTGAGAAAGAGAAGAGTTTGTAAAGCTGACCTCCACACAAATAGACTAAGATGGTATTCCCTTTGTTGAGTGGGAGGAGGAGAGTCTGCTGCTAGCAAACAGCAGATACAGATTTTCTTTGATATCACGATTCGGTGATAGGAGGCCTACTCTCAAGGAGATTAGAGAGTGGTGCTCCAAGGCATGGAGCTTGACTGGTAAGATCTCTCTTGCTGCTCTAAAAAAAGGTTTGATTTGGATTCATTTTGAATGTGAAGAGAACAAAGTTTTGGAGAAGGGGTTGGGTATGGAAGACCGCGATGTTCTTGCATCGATGGTGCCCGGGGCTTGACTTGGACGAGTTGCTCCTATCGGCATGGGTGGTTGGGTACGAAATGAGTGGGGTAGAGGAAATTTATTTTAGCAGTAAAAAGCATACGAAGAATGTTATAATGGAGAGTGCGGAAGATGGTCTATGGGAAACTCCAAGAAAAAAGAGAGAGTAATAAGCAGGAGTCGAGACAAAGAGCAGCGGGAGTAGACAGAAGGGTGTACGTATCAACGATTGGCAGGTAGCTATTCACACGCGAATAAAGTAAAGAAAGAATAGATCTTCCGGTAAACTCGGAGCGGGGGCATTACTCAATCTCAGTAAGAGTAGCTGCTTGGGGTGGACGGACAAGGCTTGGAGTATATAAGGGCGTCAGTCTGACCGTCCTTCCTGTCCTGTTTTCGACATTCTTTCTTAAGTGAGTGTCCCAAGGTAATGAAATGGAAAGGGTAATGCTCAATTCCGCAATGCTAGTCCATTGCATTGATCTGTAGCTCTATGGGGAAGCCAAAACTAAGAAATAGGAGAATACGGTCCATTCACAAGGGTTCCTCATCAATCCACTACCCATGCCAACTAGACTTAGGCTATGCAACTAAATCGAGTATGTATTCTTTCAGAACCATAGGTCGAATTCCATATAAGAATGGTCGTTCTGCAGCCTCTTCCCTGTTCCCGTGCCTAAGAATGCTAAGCCAGAAAATCGAGAGCTTAGTAGCCGAGAGTTTAATGTAGTGTTATCAGTCAATCTACGCTGCTGAGGCTAGATGGAATTAAGGATCGATTGCATCATATGATATGGAGCTGCAAAGGCGAAAATGTCCGAGCAATAAGACAAGATAGTTAGTTAAAGAATCCCACCCATCCGAGTTCGCCGATAGCAATATAGCCAAGTAGCTTTTGGATTCGGGTTGAACTTCAATTCCATTATCTTTATCTCTTAATTAGTAGCCTAGAAAAGGTAATGCACTTGAGATCGTCCTTTTGTGGACGGATAGTGCTAAGAGCGAGCTCCGAATGAATGAAGCTCTCCCTTTATTAGATGGATTTTAAATCCCTCGAAATAGACCAAGCAGACTTCTATGATATAGTCTAGACTTAAGCGGTATTAATATAATCTATTCACTCGTCATTTTTTTAAGGCCTCATGTTAGCCTCCTCCACTTCATAGGAGCTCGATATGCAATAACCCGATTACGGAAAGTCGCGTAGAAGGAGTTAGTGATCGTAGGGTTTCGAACTAGGAAGAGCATTATAAAGCAACTGCGGTCCTAGGAACGTTAGGGGAGAGCCGAGTTGCGACCCATCTTTTCAAAGCAAGAGCGAGGCCAAGAAGCGAGCATAGCCTTTTGACTTGGCTCGAGCAATAAGCCCTTCACATCCGAGATATATTCTTTTTAGAGTACGTACGCTCCTTCTTCCTTCTTGAGTTTCGTCGAAGCTCCTTCCTTTTCAAAATCTGTAGCTGGGGAATCTGTTATCAGTTTGTGCTTTTAAATCCGATTACATCAGTCCTTCGAAACTGATTTGACATCCAGAGAGTCTTTACCTTAGGCCCCAGCAAAAACTTTAAGCTACCTCTTCGAATCAGGGACGTTGGTCGTGGAAGAAAGCGGTCAGCACCCTTTGCTTTGATATCTTGCTCCGGCATTTTGAAGTCCAAAGGCCATGACCCGGTAGCAGAACGTGCCCCATGGAGTTATTCATGATGTCCTTTCTCTGTCCTCCTCCGCCATCAACATTTGATTCTAAGCGGAGAAGTCATCCATAAAAGACAGCATGCTGTAAACTCTATTGTCCACTAATAGATCAATGTGCGGAAATGGTTAGCGAAGCATGAGATTCATCCTCTTTTCCCCACTGCTCACCCATATCCTATTTCTTTCTTCTCTTCCGGCGCTGATACTTCGGCAAGGGATGGATATTCAATCCCAGAGGAGGAGGGGGTGGACTTCGACAAAGGGATGGGATGACAGGCACTGGTCACGGGGAGGCAATCTCACTCCTAATCACGTGATAAAGCAGAAGAGGGAAAACTATTCGTAGCGGATGATCAACCCGGGGGGATTTTGTTCCTGCACTACTATGCCCAATGATGGCTTCACGCTTTCAATTGGGGCTTATGATCATGGAGAGGTCCGATGGAAAGGTAACATCCGTTCCTCCACTTTTCTACCCTACAGCCGGATAAATAGAATCATTTCATCAGAACTAAGGCTGGGACAACTATTCCTATTGCTTGCCTCTTTCTCCCCGAGGTAGATAATACCCAAGGACGGGAACTTGGATACTAGATCATCCACGATAAGCCTATCATCCCCGACGAACTCATCAGCAGATTCCGCTCCCTCAGAGGTAGGGTTTAGACTAGAAGGGGTCGAACACTTATGGCAGGAATAGAAAGGTGGATATAGAATTTCATCAGTCAGGCGGGGACAGGATTCGAACCTGCAGTCTTCAGATTATGAGCCTGATAAGTTAACCATTACTCTACCCCGCTTCTTATTCTTACCCTGAAAATCTGATCGAAAACATAGTACGACTTGCATGTGTTAAGCATATATATAGCGTTACAGAGTCTTCATTCTCAATCACAAAGAGAGCATTTTAGATCTTAGGCGAACGAGGGTTACCGGCTCTACGACCTCTCAAGGCACTACTGTAGAGCTGGCCTGCCGCTTTCTCAATCGAAAATGTCAACTGTCAAGATTAGCCTACTGAACGATTTCATCTATCACTTACGTCATTTCTCAAGGTAAAAAATCCATAACATAATTGTTGCATTAAGTCATCGTTCCGTCATCCAACATGCTTCTATCTAAGTTCTTTCATACCTTACTACTTCCCTCCGTCACCCTTCTAAGCTCCTTTGCCCTATGCCTTTAGTCTGCTTTGAATGAGAATTTCACTCTTCGAAGGTGAGCGAAGTACTTCGAGGGATTAGATGGAAGGAACCTCTGCTAAGAATGGAATGCATTGATTTTGGTCTTCTCCTTATTTAGCTTTCAAGTGGGAGAGGACTTCCATAGAGTCATTTATGTTAACCCCTGCTTTGTGGTACTATCTCAGTCTAAGGCTTTTTGAGCCTGCATTTGTGGGAGCTGAGGCCACATTCACTACCATCGCAGTCTGGGTCCAACTAGTAGGTCTTCCCATTTCATTCTATTACATGACCACATTGAATAGGCTAGGAAAGGAATGGAATCTTCGCGTGGACAAAGAGAGAGAAGAGAGGGCTAGGTCAACCTTATGGATAGCGTAGCGTAAGGACGGGATAGGAAAGAGAAATGCTCAATGAAGCGCTCAAGAGAAGGGTGTAGGGCGTTGAGCAGGGCTAGTCAGCGCCTTCCCTTAATGTTAAAAGTGGAATCTGTAATACACTACACCTCGAAAGGCACACCATCAGGATTCTTTTTCCATCTAAAGCAGCAAGGCAGCTGGCTTGGTAGTTAAGCTACAAGAAAGTGATTCTCGAATCTGCTTCCTGAGATTAATGATGGTTGCTAGAATACGACGCTCTTAGTTAGAATTTGACTTCTTGGTATGGCAACAGAATTCAATTCATTATTTTAACGAGACAAGGCAACGCTTACCTCGTTATCCTGAGAGCTGAATGATGGAAGACTCGGATGCGACTCCGTTAAGAGTCTTTTCCAGTTACGCTGTAAAGTATATAGGCTGCCTTTCTTTACCAAAGGTGCTCGGATTGGAGGATTCTGCAGATACTGTTTTATCTTATCGAAAGCTTGATGACAATCGTCATCCCTTATTTTTCCTCAAAAGCTTAAAAAAGGGCTCGCAAGTTGCTGTCAACTGTGAAATGAGGGCTGGGCACTTGAAAAGGAATATTCAAGAAGAAGGCTTAAACGAAGAACTGATCATGATGTATTGGAGCATGTGAAATATCCGGTCGAGCAGCAGTCTAACTTGGAAAATCAATCCTGTCCCTTGGTTGTTCTGGCCTTGCCATCGAAAGCACGGTTTCTAAAATGCTTTAGTTAATACCGCTACGTGGGCTGATTCAAGTAGTTAATTAATAACGGTGAAGAAGAGATACTCGGAGAAGAACTAGTCAGATTCATTCAATAGAGCGGGGTCTCTTTGCCTAAGTCAATGGGAATCGAAAGATATTCAAAAGAAAGGGCATTTCGAGAGTTAGATTCATGTGCCGAAGCAGATGGGTTGTAGCCGACCACTAAGATTTTTGTTAGCCCTTGAGAATAGACGAAAGATCATCAAAAAACCTTAGTGCTGGAGGAGCAATCTCTTTCATCCGTTCGATACTACTACTATAAGTAACATCGGATACCGAGGTCGTTAGCGAGCCGAAATCTAAAATAAATTAACTATGACTGGCAAATAAGCTCATATCGGGACTCTAGAGCAGTAATTGAACTAATGAAATGACTTTCGCGAATTATTTTCATAGTAGCTTGTTCGTTTGTCCACCTGTTCTTTTAAGCGAAGGGCTTGAGGAGCCAGATCTTTCTCGATCGTTTATTGGCACTTCCTTCTCTATCTGCCTAGATAACCTCTCTTTCCCTACAAGGGACTAGAAGGTCGACCCCACTTTCCACACTATGTTGACTTGACTCCTGAGCCCACTCATTCCCCGCCACTCTTTCACACGAGCATCGAGGGCTTTTTCATAAGAAGCGAGCATCCACTTCGATAGCTAGTCTCTTTCATACATCGTTCCGGGGTCTCGCCAACCAACTCTCAAACCATCAGCGAGAGGAGAGGGAATCTCATCTTTCCCAACCCTTGAGTGTAGGGCTTACCTTCTATATCCTAGTGACTCCGGCCTTGGTGGCGTACTTCCTTGTCAGAATGACATTCAGCTTCCCTTGGAGCTCACGCGGAACAGACTGAAACTGAAGCCTATCAGTCTTGCATCGGCTCTAAGCTCTTTCTCCGCTCACTCACTGTCTATAAGCAAGGGTAGGAGAAAGGCATCTTAAATAAGGGTTAAAACAAACCTCTTGTTAGCTCGATTTCCTTAATAAGGTAGACTGCCGATATCGACATTTGCTGGTAGCGGAAGAATGTATGAATGCCCGGTAACAAAGGAAGGGTCAAAAAGCCCTTGTGGTTGTTGATGCCAGTGTAGAATTATGAAGGAGTTCTATGGAATTTCCATTTTTGGAAAAAAGAGTGAACATCAATAGTTGGCGGAAGACTAACTTACAATCAGTGTGTCTAGGGTTTGTCTTCTTTCGTCAATCCATATATTAGTGAGCGGTCTAGTGCTCGTTTAAGTCAGCGGCTCGGTATATGGCCCAAGATCAGCTATCTGGATAGCTAGCTCTACTCTTTGTTGTACCCTACAGTAGGCATCAACGGATGGTTCTTCGAAAGGCTGTCTCATTTCAAGGGAGGGCGACAGACCACCGAGGACCTTGGCCTAGAAACTCAATCGCAGAATGAAATTGTAGGGTTCCAACTGTCTCTGAATCATCTCCATCCTAGCTTTGGCCTCTGCTCCATCGAGACTATCAGTCGGGATCAACCCAATTACCTTTTGAACTCAATCACACACGCCTGCTACACATACAGTATCTATCCCTTTAGCCACAATGAGGGGGCCTTTACACCCCCAACCTCTCAATACAGCATGGAGCTTCATCTTGAAGGCCTATCACGAATTGATCTCTCCCGCCTAAGGACCTCAGGTGTCCGATCCAGCTCTATGGGAGCTTCCTTATATCAGGAGTTCGCCCTTTTCGCTTATTCATTCAACGACAACAGATGCCGATGAACTAGCTGCTTCTTTAACATAAGGAACTTATAACCCTTGGAGAATGGAAAAGAACACTCTCTTGTCTTAGATACCAGTTGCAAGTGGGAAGACCAGCAGCGGTGATGAAATCCTTGTTGACTTGCGGTCTGTCTATTCCAACTTTGACTTTTCTTTCTACTTGACTAGTAGAGCCAGGCAGGCTACTGTTCTTGCTACGACTAAATCCTCCAGCAATCTGTTCCCGAAAGCAGTTAAAAGCATTGGTTAGAGTGCTAGTGGAGAGTTTGAGCTCGCTGCCCTCCAGAATAAATCCTACGTCCCTCCTTCCCCACCTTTAGCCCCCTTTCACATCTATCAGAGATGGAATGTTCCCGTCACCTTGAAGATCGGTGACCAGGTGATTCGCGCCACTGCATGCGTCGACTCGATACAGTCTATAATGCAAAGATTGCTTTTTTCATATAATAGAAATGCAAACATCGGATTGAACTGCTCTCAGCTTTCAGGGAGCTAAGCTAGGCAGAATGATCATAGGTTTCCAGCTTTCCTTGCCCTACCCGGGACAAGCTTTCCTGCATTCCTTGCTGCTCTAGCTTTCCTTGTTTAGGGAATATCCGTATTAGTCAACAACTAAACGCCAGATCTTTGGAAAGCTGTTTTTCACTCCGATCCTAACTACGGCTTATGATGCCGAGTGTTCCAAACCTTAGCTACTTTCCGAAACCAAAGTAGTTGACTGCTGCGTCAAGGCTTCTCTCCTTATTAGATTAGGGAAGCTGTTCTCTTTAAACTCCTCTGTCTCGAGTTCCTGTTTAGTTAGCTTCTGCTTCCTCTCCTAAGGAATGATTGGCCTACTAGGAGTAAGTAAGGTTTAGGCTTGAATAGAGCGACGGAATGGATTGCTGCTCCCGCGCTTACCCCAATGGACCACTTAGAAGAGACCGAATCGGATGACTTGAAAGCGGAAAAAGCAATGTCCCTTTAGCCGACAGATGGAACACCTTCTAACCTAAAACACTAAGAGGGAATGGAAAGAAAGCTTGCACCGCTAAACTGGAAAGCGAATGGATAAGCATTCCATCCTACAACAATCAAGGCTAGGCAAAGAAGAAGCAGCTAGTCTTGTCTACATAAGCCCTTCTCAGGGAAGAGAAAGAGATGATTGATTTCCAGATGTGAACTCCCTTACTGATTCCTAGATTAGAGCTTTGCCTTTTGCCTTCAAACCTCAACTCAAAACCTTCTTGCTAACAGTCTTCCACCGCTTCGACAGTCTATTCTCTAGCACAGGCTAAAAATCTTTAATTTCAGTGGATTCGAAGCAAGAAGGATTTTCAGTCCTGTTGAGCTACCCCGCATCTTCTCTCGGCGAAAAGAAGGTCCTACTTGCATGTGTTAAGCATATAGCTCGACCATGATTCTTCCCTTCTTTAACCTAGTGAACCAGACATAGTACTTCTGAACCCGAAGCTCTTCTCTTATGCAATTTCGAGTTAGCCCTCTCCCCTTGCTTGCTACTCTCGTGATAGGGTGGGGCTCTAAAAAAAACTACCACCATTGGAATTCGTCCTTGCAGCTCACTTCGTCAAAAGAAGGAGATCCATGCACTGAGTCGTCCAATGACGCATGTCTATCCCAAGCTCCTTTTTCAGCAGGATAAGCCTAACTTGGAATCAAAGCTAGCAGCTCACCTGAGACTCAATTCACATTGACCCTTCTCTACTCCCTACCCCAAGTGCGCCTTTATTCGCTAGGCTCAGTCTCATATGTAAGGCTACCTGGCTGACATCTAATATAGGAAAGGAATCGCTTGAAGACTGGTTCGTCTACCTTACATCGGATTGA